TTCGATGGGCCGCCAATTTTTTTGTATGTCCACGGTTGGGCCACCAAACAAAAACCCATGCACGTGTCTACTTCAGAAAATAAAGATATTAATAATAAAAGTAAACAAAACTATCCACATTATCAAATGCAAATGATACTATTGAAGCCAGTACTTTAATTATACAACAACAAGAAGTGGTCGAATCACAGCAAATACAACCAACTGGAGAGCAGCTCAGTATCGTAATTGGTGATGAATGTGTTGGTCAAGCTTGGTGGAATTATGTGTGTCAATACAGTGTGCCGGTGTATATTTGCAATGTTCATACCTGCAAGTTTTTTTTTTAATATAAAAGTGTATTTTCCCAATTTAAATTGGGTGGGTCATAAAATTTTTTTGTAAGATTAGATGGGCTTTGAAATTTTTATCTACATCCCAAGATGGGTCACCAAACTTATTGGCAAAATTTGTGATTTACCTCCAGCCCACACTAGCAGTTACTTTATAACCAGTCCCTAACTGGATAGGAAACTTCCTGACGTCATTGACTCATCCTTGTTGAAAAATGTGACGTCATCACGCGTATCGCAAATATTGCCAAAGTTCTCAGCATTTTTGTTGTTTCGCTATATTTTCCGCTTTAAGGTAATTCCGCAGTAATTGTTCCCGAAATGAGAATGTGCTGAAACTTCCCAGGCATGGAGTTTATGATATACTTAAAGTAAAATCACACAAAAAAAGACGGGGTTAAAATCACACAAAAAAAGTCGTTAAGAAGATATGACAATCACAATATACCACCTTTACCCCAATATGGCGCCATCTTGACGCTCATTACGAGTAACAGCAAACTCACAACAGCCCGATATTTATTGACGTTTTTAGCGCGGATTTTGCTTTAGTGAACCTATTTTGTAATTATTTTTCAAAAAATATTGTGTTTTGAGCAAAATGAAACTACTAACGTGTACAATTCTGATCCACAAATGTCTTTTGCACATTTCTTTATATATCTTTCTTTGAGAACATGCATTGATAAAGCTTTTTTTTTCAAGATCCAGAAATGATTTTTCTTTTAATTTCGGATATGAAATGTAAAATGCATTAAAGAAATAAATTATCAGTTAAAAAACGGGGGTCACCGATCTTTTTAGGGAATTGTGGCATTAAAACGTGAAATACAAGTAAATAATTAATATACTACAGACACAGGAACCCTAGCTACACTTTTGTATGCCTTTTTTGAAAACATTGATTTTAACGTAATTCTTTGCACGAATGTAACCAAAGATGTTTTGAAGTAACATAAAATTGTCATAAAATGATATTTTTTTTAAACGGTACGTATATAATAGATGAAATTATAAGTTATAAGATGTCATGTGCGCAGTAAAAGTGCGCAATGCAAAACTGCGGAATTACCTTGATTAAAAGAGTAATATTGAAGCATAAACTGGTCTAATTGCTTTAAAAACATGCCTAAGCCACGACAAACTATTCAAGGTAAATGTTTTTCGTCTTTGTTTTGTATTTTTTTTACATTTGTAGCTACGAAATTGGCGTCACAAATTTTAACGAAATTTGCGATGTATTTTTCACTGTTTAGTGCTTGAAATATTTGCTAAAATTGATCATCTTAGAATGGCGTGGTTATATTTATTTGCTCTTTGACTAAAATTTTTAGCTGTATTATTGCTATTAAAACATGCCGTTTTTGAGAATTTGTTTTTTAACTAGGTTGGGACATCCAACCACGCCCAATCTCATTCCCCGAGCCTGCGATCCTCGGGAAGGAACGTGAGGCTCTGGGATAATCCGTTGCCGGAAGCCAGGAATCCTGACTAAGACCGAACTGCACATTCCATATCAACGGCCAATCAGATTCCTCTCTGAAACGGATTATCCCAGAGCCTCGCGTTCCTTCCCGAGGATCGCAGGCTCGGGGAACGAGATTGCCCAAATCACTAAAAAGACCACCTTAACATCAGTAAGTATACTGAAGTTTGAAGACGTTTACATAAATACCCTTCGAATAATAAGCTTTCGAAAATTGTGAAATTACTGATTAAAAGACTGTTTTTGGGACGCGCGTCCCCCAAAATAAAAAATGCAGTACATTTCATAGTAAATGTCAGAATTTTCGAAAGCTTATTATTCGAAGGGTATTCATGTAAACGTTTTCAAACTTGGTATACTTACTAATTTTGAGGTGGTCTTTTTAATGATTTGGTTCATTTCTTAATTTGGGCACTTTTTAACACTCGTCCCCAGTCCTCTCATTAACCTCGGAATGGCTAATTTGTAAACGACTGCATTTACCAAGGGCACATTATAATAATCTGAGTATTTAAATATAGCGCTTAATCTATGAAGGAATATTCTAAAGCGCTGTACAATGGTAAATTTACAATAATAACTAAAACTATATTCTAAAAAGCTGTGTCAACAATCTTAGAGTACGTGTCAACAATCTTAGAGTTATACTAAAAATTTAAAACAATATATATACATATATATATATATATATATATATATATATATATATATATATATATATATATATATATATATATATATATATATATATATATATATATATATATATATATATAGGCGAATGTCAATAAGTATATTGAGTGTCGAATCATAAGAATAGAGTGCTCGATACAAAAGTAGAGCAAATAAAAGACAAACTTGAGTTACTTTGTTTAAAACATTTATTCACGACAAATTTAAACCAGGCTTGCCACACTCATCAGGTTCACCTGATGAGTGTGGCAAGCCTAGTTTGCCATACGAAACAAATTTGTCGTGAATAAATGTTTTAAACAAACTCAAGTTTGTCTTTTATATATATATATATATATATATATATATATATATATATATATATATATATATATATATATATATATATATATATATATATATATATACACACTAATAATTCTTAAAAATTAGTCTATTTATACGCCTTCCTAAATAGAAATGTCTTTAAATGAGTTTTAAAACAGTTAACAGTTTCACACCGCCTAATGTTAAGTGGGAGAGAGTTCCAGATTAGAGGAGCAGCATTCTTAAATGATCTATCTCCAAGTGTTTTTGATTTTGTTTTGGGAATCTGCAGCAACGAACACTCATCTGATCTTAAATGGTAATTGCCTTCGGGTTTAAATGACAATAAGTCGGCAATGTATTGAGGTGCCATTCCATTTGGGGCTTTATACACTAATAAGCCAATTTTAAATTCCACTCGAAACTTTATTGGTAACCAATGAATATGCATTAAAACTGGAGTAATATGAGAAGTTCTGGGTGTATAGCATATCATCCTTGCAGCGGCGTTTAGAACTCTTTGTAAGCGTTGATACTGATACTGTGGAATCCCAAACAAGAGAGAATTACAGTAGTCTAGATGTGACGTTATAAATGCATGCACGAGAGTTTTGGTCGCCTCCTGAGAAAGGAATAAACGTGTGAAAGCTTTGCTGCATACCTTTCCTACGTGAACGTCCATGGACATGTTCTTACCAAAAACCAAGCTTTGTAATCTTTGTAATCCTGTATTGTGTTTAGAAATGGATGAACGAAACAAAAAGGAAATGTTGGACACGAGACGACATAACGTTGGATTGGATACGAGGAAATTGTACGAAATCATGCTGATGGAAGAAATACCAGGTATAGGGGTTAAATTACCTGAATTTGTGAATACCTGCAAGCAGTGTCGGAAATTCAGTGTAGTTTTTTCATGAGTACATTCAAGTCAGTGGCGAGGCTGAGGAAACATTCCGGTGGGGGGGGTCCGAATTAAATTTTTTAAATTTAGAAGTCCGGAATGGCCATTTACAGCGATTTCACGGTAAAATAAATTGTGTGACTAGAGGAAAATTTTTAAAATTTATCACTCCTGCCGAGCATGACCTCTAGCCTCGCTATTGATTCAAGTAGCAGGTGTTTCTTTTCGAAATAATATATTAGCATACGGGGCAGAATCTACTACGGGGGTTCGGGGGAATGTTCCCCCGAGAAAATATTGAATGTTTAGACCCTCAGAAAACCTGGAAATGCAAGTAAAATTTTGCATGTTTATAGCTTGCGTTCACTTTTAACTTTCACGCTCGCTCGTCAATGCTCTTATAATTTACCTGAAAATCAGCCGAAGTCACCTCTAATTTTACCTGGAATTACTCATGAACAAATATTGAGGGTGGGGGGGGGTGTCACCCTCTCAGAAAGTCGTGGATTTTCTCCGGGCGTTCCGGTTGACAGGGTGGGTTAGGACAAACACAGTTAGGAAAGTAATACCTCAATTGTTGTAAAGATAAAAATAGTCTGGGCTAAGTAAGAGTGATTAGGTAAGCTTAATACATACATATACATGACTTTATTTAACACGGAGAACCATCAGTACATAATTATGATAATTAGCTATTCACAAATAAAAACAATTAATATAAGTAAAAAGGAAGAAGACAAGATTGAAGGGAAGAAGGAGAAGAGGTACAGTTCAACCTGGTTGCCGTGTGGGAGTCGGTAAGACTGGAAGAATAGAGAGATTCCAGACTTCCTTTAAACGAGGAGAGGGATTATGATAATCTAAGAGATTCAGGCAAGCTGTTTCAAAATGATGCTCCACTATAACTGAAGGAGCGCTTAAGATATAGTCAGTATTGGGCTTAGGAATAAACAACTTGCCATCAGAATTTCTTAGTGAATGTTGACAATTCCTGGATGAAAACACTTCCTGTTAGTACTGGGGAGATTGACCATTAAGAGTTTTAAACATAACAACGGCTTTTTGTTTACGACGGTTAACCGACAAAGTGTTCCACTGCAGCTGATCTAGAAGTTGACTGGATGTAAAGCGCATTTGATCGTATCCACATAAAATTTGCGCTATAGGAATGCTAATCGTGATCGTAAACTGGCATTCGAACAACTTGCATGGCCCCAAATCAATATATATAATTTTTCATTCGACTAACCTGTGCCGCGTCTTTTCTTGTCATCTGCAGAAGACAAACGGCCGAACGCGCCAACCTACGCAGTCCTTGACAGTCAACTTGGCAAGCGGGAGGAAGATGATCAGGATTCTACTGACAACGTGAGGGACCAAGCCCTCCTGCATTATCTTGCAAATCTTGCCAACTCCAACAACGAAGATGATGTATTTAATTTCGAGTTTGTGGGGTCGCTTGTACAGAATGGTGCGGATATCAACTGCATGGACACCAACGGTCAGACGATTTTTCACGAGGTCGCGAGATCCTGGAATGTTGATGTGGCGAGGTTTCTTGTGGAAAATGGTAAGTGTTTGGTCTGGAAGAGAGAAGGCATAGGTGGAAAAGTTTTTTCCTTTCTGGGAATCGGCCTATGGGTGAGGGGGCTCAGAATTTTCTGCAAGATTACAAAAAATATGGAGAAAAAAAACTACTTTCGGCTCAAAAATGGTTGTTTTTCCCGCGCGTAATACAAATATATACAAAATTTGCGAAATTCACAGGGCTATATTTTCCTCATTTAACAACATTTTGCAATCAAACTTTGCAATTTTACTCATTTTAAGATGCTCTTTCCAGCTATGGTAATGGTTTCGTTCTTCTTGTTTAGATCAAAATTTCTTCTGTATAGCTGGAATCATCATTAATTTTACCTTTACAGGCGCCAACGTCAATCATCAAGATAGGTTTGGTCGTTCTCCCCTTCACGTTGCCGCAGCAGTCGACTACGCTAATATGGTAGAATTTATCGTCCAAAATGGCGGAGATATTCACATCAAGACGAACGGCGAAGAACAAACTGCAATACATTACGCAGCGAAAAATGACGCCGTCAACTCTCTTCAGATGTTGCTAGGCCATGGGGCGAAAATTGATTCTGCCGACTGCAGAAATAGGACGCCCTTACAGGTAGCCTTTTTTTCCCATTCCACTGATAATGTAGCCCTGTAGGTGTTATACAATCTATTCTTGGCTTGGTTGTTGAATGATGATGAACGAATTGATGTTACTCTGAGTGTACATCCACACTGGGCAGGCTGAAAAGTTAGTCTGACTAAGGTGGGAATCGCACCCGCGACCTTTGGGATACTAGTCCAATGCTCTGTCAACTGAGGGATATAGATTCATGTCTCGCTGTTATGAGTTAGGGTTAGCGGTTAGGGTTAGGATTAGCATTCATATAAATAGCGAGACATGAATCAATAAACCCAACTGAACTACGAGGCAGGCGCTGGCCAAAGTGGTTATTTTCACCGCGCATATACATAGAGGATATTTTACGGTGGCGCGGAAATATGACTTTTATTTTCGAGTGGTGAAAACAATATTTTACGAACGAGCGCAGCGAGTGAGTAAAATATTGTTTTCAACACGAGAAAATAAAAGTCATATTTCCAAAGCCACCGTGAAATGTTCTTTTTATTATATGGCCAAAATAAATTTCATCAACTAGATGTTTTGTAGCTCACCGTACGGCAACAATGTTATGTCTCTCCGCTCGTTTATAGAGGCTAAATAGTCGCTGAAGATCGCCAAATCGGACTTAGTCTTCCTTTTTGTGTTTTCGTTTTCATTTTCTTCAGAAAACCTTGCCAAATCAGCGTCGGAAACATTAACAAAATGTCGAGAATTTGCCATATTGAATATTCAAAACAGAAACGGCAAAATGGCGGGAATTAGCGTGGGCCCCGCGCGAGACGTTCCCGCGTAAGATATGATTTCATATTTCACTACAGTGAAATACGGGAAATATCAGTGGCGTATTTTACGGTATTTTACTCATATCCATATAATAAAAATATATATAAAATTTGCAGGGCTATATCTTCTTCATTTTACAACATTTAGCAACCAATCTTTGCAGTTTTACTCATTCTAAGACGCTCTTTCTAGCTGTGGTGTTGGATTTCGTTCTTCTTGCCTAGATCAAAATTCAGTGCATAGCTGGAATCACCAATTGCTAGGTAGTGTGGGAATTGCCATATATGACCATACAAAATACAGAGCCAACTAAGAGAGTTCATAATTCATTGCATTTCAAAAAGCATTCTCCTATATTGTAGAATGTAGAGAGGTTTTGTAGATGGAAATTCCGGGTGTGCATTTTATAGATAAGACCATGCCAGGAACAGCAACTATCAGGGTGTCCACATAGATATCTTATATACACTAGATAGCGCATCTCTTTTAGTAAAATTGAAGCCAAGAATATTCCAGCGGTTACCCCCATTTGAATAGATGGCGGCCATGTTGGTAGTTCCCCCTCGCTAATAAACGCTTAAAAAAACAACAACTTTCATCATTTGAATAGTTTAAAAATGTATTTGGAATAGGTTAAACTTAATGTTTAAGTTCTCTGTTTAAGAAATAGAAAACGTGCGAAACTTCTCATTTCATGGGAATATTCCGAGTCTGTAATCACGGCTTCAATTTTTGAATTGCAGAATAATTAGATGCACTATCTAGTGTATATAAGATATCTATGGAGTCCACACTTTGGTGATAGTGAAATTCAAGGACTTTTCCAGGACTTTCAATGTCCTTTTTCAGTAAATTCAAGGACCTATAGAACTGGGAAAAATCTTTGAAAATGGCACGGATTTGCCTTTAAATAATTCACTTTATTCAGTAATTTTAATCAAAATCACTAATGTTGGCACAGCTGGAGGTTAAGGAAATTAATTCCAGGAAACTTTCAAGGACTTCTACTGATTTTCAAGGACTTTCCAGTCCTGGAATTATTTTCTTCCAATTTAAGGACTTTCCAGGATTTTCAAGGCCCGTGACACCCTGCTATATATAGGCCTTCTGGTAGGAATCGAACCATGGGCCTGCGATTTCAGTGCATTGCCATTGCATTTCCAAAAGCATTCTCCTAAATTCCCCAGGTCGCCGCAGAAATGAACAGTTTCAAAGCAGCCAAACTTCTGGTGACTGAAGGAGCGCCTGCTGGCGTGTATGACAACCTGGGTAACTCTGCATTATCACTCCTCATTGAAAAGATCCCCGAAGTGGCGCTAATAGCATTGGATCAATTCCACACGACAGACTACATCAATAGACGAGAGTTTTACTTTCTCAACTACCTCGAAGGCGCGAAACTGAAGGAAGAATTGCAGGAAACACAAGCG